TACTTTAGCTTATCTATTAACATCATTTTTGCAGGAGTCCCATTAACAGTTTTAGTCACATGACCGGTGCAGAGACCTGGCAGGCAAATAACAGAAGACTGTAATGACAGCTACACTTTTACCTCCAAAGACGTGCAGCACAATCTGGTCGTTTTCCATCTGTTTAAAGATAAGAATATTTGCACCACATAACAAAAAACAAAAATATTAACACAAACTGTGAACTGCAAGCACTTGCAATCCATATTCAGAGTTTTTCCATATTTTAAACAATTAAAAACCTTCATGTCCCTGTCAGAGCTCTAATTCAGAGATGTTTACATTTATCTTGTGGATATTCCTCAGTGATTTACTCATCTGTGATGCTGTTATAGTGCATACGTGTCTGCTTTTATATTTGGTTTCTTTTGCTAAAATTAACATTTGCTGGTTAAAAAAAATCATTTTGTTCACTTCTGCTATTTATGCACATAACCTGTAAATTAGAATAGAAATTTTATAAATGCATACAATCGTACGAATATTTAATTATATCGTTATAGGTACTATGTTGTTATGGGTCAATAACGCTACCATTCGGCACAAATCCCTAAATTTGTCCTTTCGGCTTGTTCTTCCATGAAGGAATTCAGTATAAAGCACAACATGTGTCCTTGTTGGTTAGTAACGTTACATCTTCTTGCACAACAATAATATGAATTTTTGGATAAAATAAAAGAGAAATCATTCAGCCCGTGACTTGGCAGTCATCAAACACCTCTGGAATTGGTTGAAAGTGAACAAATCTAAAACATTTAAGAAGTTGTGCTTTCATTTGGTTTAAATATTACTTGTTTGTTTTGTTTTGTTCTTCAGTTTTGTTGGTAGTAAACATCAAAACTGTGTGGAAAATGGGACAGCGGTACATTAGGGGAGACAACTGCTGACCACTTTATTAATTTTTCTTAAAAAATTCTTGGTTTTGAATTTAATTCTGTTAGACATGATTTGTATCATAATTGTAATGCACTTTTTGTTGATCAATGGTAAACAAATAAAATAGAAGACTGAATAAAAATAAGTGGAATATGTTCAAAACAAATACTTCAAATCAAAAGGCCAGAACGCTGGTATTAGCAAGACATACTTAATAAAAACGGCCGGTAAATGTAAGTGTTGTGCCATTTCCTCAAGCCTTCGTAAATCACTCGATAGCAAAACCCTGCCAAAGGGGCTCATTAAATAAACGACAGATGAAAACCTAAACAAAGAACACTGCAATTTCACTCAATTTTCACTCAACATTAGAACAAAGCATTAGTCTTCATTTTACCATTTAATTATAGACAAAATGTTCTATGTCATTCTTTATATACACACATAATTACAAGGTCAGTTTAGATTCTCAGGACTTCTTTTTTTTTCTTTTCGTCTTAAAGTAGGCAGCTAGTTTTAAAGTTTGTTCATGACATTCGCCATCTTACATACAAAAAGAAGCTGCAATGCAGTCACATTTCAAAAGCCTGGGATACTCCACCCGCCAAGTGCAGTAAGTCGCTTAACAGAGACGGCATTCACATTACTGTCCATCACTATGTACAAAAAACTTGAGTGCACTTGCTGCTACATTATACATATTAACAAACTACAGACTCTGTATCTACAGTATCACTGTATATAGATGGTGCGGTCGGTGTTTGAGGCTTAGCATTGTGAGAGTTAGCTTCCGTCAGAAGGAAGAGAGACCAGCTCCATTCAATAAACCACTTTGTTTTGTATGCATGACTGCGTTTTTGTTTTCCCTTTTGGGCCCTAGCGAATCATGAAATCTCTTTACATTCGCACCTGATGGGTGACGCAGGCCATGAATTTTCCATTGAATTCATGGAGAGATTAATAACATCCTGTTTGGGCTGTCAGTACTAGGTGTTTTGTTCCGGTCTAGCGATCTGCGTCCCTTTATTCATGGCACTCTAAACGCACCAAGAAGCGGCGAACAGGTCATCTGTGCAGTCTCGGTGCCGCCGCCCACAAACACACACACATATGCCAGGATAATGAAAGATGTAATGACTGCACTGCTACACGCTCTTACATCGGTTCAGATTTCATAATGTCACATTTGCTCACTCTATCTCTGACCTTTCCTTTGCATGCGGCAATCCACTCCATATCCTGAAGAATACCCCCGGTATCCGACGCGGCTCCAGGTTTGTGCATTTGTGTATGCAGATAATCCTTTGCCAGCCCAAAATGACATCTGACATTTTGAGAAACCCAAACAAGGTCCTCACTCGCTCTCATTTCACCCTGCCTGCCTGCAGTCGCCTTTTATTTCTTCCTTTCCCTGAAATGCGCCTGAAAAATGGACTGAGATTTCAGATAAGAGAGGAAAGTAAATGATAAAAGCAAAAATGGAAGAAGCACTGTGATTACGGCAACAACATAAAACACTGATGTCTTCAAAAAAAGCCAACATGTGAAAAGAGGGAACTGGAAAGAGAATGAAAGCACACATGAATTTTCTTATTTGGGAAAATAAAACATGAAAAGAGACGCCACAAATGACCTGTAATGTCAAACGCTTGTAAACATACCTGTCAGATTCCAGTTAGCGCACCAAACATGCACACCAAATTAATTAATTAAATAAAAACAGAATTACACCCGCCATGATTAAAGAGACCCTAAAACATGTCCTGTACTGTATGTGTGTGTGTGCGTGTTAGTGTATATGTGTGTGTTATAGCCATGCAGCCTCTGGACGTGTTGTATATGTGTGTGTTGCCATCAATAAAGATGCAGCAGTGCAAGGATTCCTCCTCCTGATTGTAAAAATGGAATAAAATAACAGAAATAAGTTAAATATCATTAAAGTGACCCAGATTAAGTCCTATCAGTCCGGGTCACGTAAGAGTTTGTTTTCCTGTAGTGTTCTCTCAGGAGACATTCAGTTCCTCCAATCAGAGTCTGCTTGGCTTCATAAACCACGCCCCTTCGCCCCTGCTTCTCTCACAAATGTGAGCCAGTCATAAACGTCTCAGTCATTGCAGGGGTCGGAGGTCAGAAGATGATGGGTAAATGTCAGATGCAGGTGGAAGGCTGTGCTAATGGCTGCTGCTTACGACTGCGCAAGCCTCCAGACTTCTCCTTATATCCCAGACACATCTGCTGAGAGATGTCCACTAATGCACTTGCTACTGCCAGACCTGAGATTACACAGAAAAAGGGGGATTTGTTTAAAAACTTACAAGTTAACCTCATTTAACAATTCAACAAAAGTACATCAAGGAATCAATTGGCTATATGCACAATGACTTTTTATTTCAATCAGCCAGCACCAGGGCTTCCAGTTAATGGTTACAAAATTGCTGCGTTTAAGTTCAGATTTATTTAAAAAACAGCGATCTTTGCTGCTTGGCTGAGACATGATGGGTCTCAGACCAAACAAGAAGTGCTGCATTAAATTCTATTTAAAATATGAAAATTAATTTTACCCAAGTATTTTCAATGGAATTTCAGTGCTGACCTGCCGCTAATGACAAAATTTGAGTTTAATCTTTTGTCTCTTTTTACGCTTTAACAACCAAATGGATGCTAAAGCCTATTTAACTGATTATATTTGAATTACATTACAACATCAATGCTGTAAAAGGAACCTAATGAAATTGAAAATTGTCACATAAAACCTTTACCATCACTGGCTAAAAAATGCTAGCTGTGCATATAGCCCGTTGTGTTTCAAAGAAAAAAAGTGAAGTTATTAAATATTTCAATACAGCAGGAACATATACAATTCTAAATTAATTAGCAATCAATTATTATTACTAGATTTTGATATAATTTATAATTTTTTGTTATCCTAAAATGATGGTTTAATATAGGCTGCGTCCAGAATTGCCAACTACTCGAATAGGTACTACATTTGATTTAAATTAACTACAAGACCATTAGAAAAGTAAGTTGTATTGACTTCATTCTGCGATGTGGAAGTGCGAATTTTGCAATTATTTTACAATTATTTTTTTGAGAACTTCCTATTCAGTTGCCTATGGAAGAAATGACTAGAAATAACAAACAGAAAATGATCAAACTAATTACTCTGCAAACAAGTGTGTTCATGACTATACATAAAAAGTAGAATGAGGCCAGAATTCTTTAACCAAAAATATTCCAATGGCTGTGCTTGCTTGTACAGGAAGAATAAGGTCTATATTAGGACTCGGCGCATAATCAAAAATCGACATTAAGAACCTACAATATAGGTACATTTTTTCAATTACTTTGGCTACTGACTGTGGAGTCACATGAACCCGCTCTGTTAAGACTTTATTTTTTGATTTATACTTCTGCGTGGAACGCACTGGTATGGTCCAGCGCAGCCTTTGTGCGGTCGCATACCTGTGCACCTCTTAAAATATTGTAGCTACACATCGCACATTTGCACTACATTGACGATGACTGGAAAATGCGCCAGAGATGCCTTGAGATGGCATATTCGCTATTACAATAAAATTATTATTTGCATTAAAATATTTATTTACAGAAGATTAAAGAAATGTACTGTTTAAAATATTATTAACAGGATATAAGTCATTATCACATGACCTACCCACGGCAGTCACGTCACTTCCCTCCCATTTATGAATTCTCTCACATGGCATTATGGGATAATGGATGCACACTTCAGAATCTCGCCGGAAGGTCATCCAAGTACCCACTGTTTTTCAAATGCTATGAATTTGGACATACTACACAACTCACATACTGCTATTAATGTACTATACAGTAAGAATCAGATTTCAGATGAAGTCCTACTATTTGTTTTTTTTTTATCATTATGGAATTTTTTACATGTTCAATTTAATGTAAACATCACAATGCTTTGGCAATATATATGTAACATTTGTCATGCCAAAGTTTGAATTGAGAGAGGGAGGGACTATCAACATTGGCAGAAAAGAGCATAAAGATGTTCAACACTAGGTGTGGGGGCCAAATGCATTGGATTGTAGACCCACCTGACTGTCCTGGAGGAGGAATACCTCCGGGGCCTCTGGGTAACCGAACAAAGATGGAGAGCACTGCTGCTTTATTCCCAAAACAGGGCTCCAGAGCTATGGGCTTTGGTACAGACTGAAAAAGGAAATAATAGAAGAGGAAAACAAATTTAAAATCAGACATCCAAAGTACTAAATACTCCATTCGATACCACATTTATCAACATGGCAAAATCATTGTATTGCCATTTCTGATTATGTTCTTTGTCTCTCCAGCATAATTTTGTTTGTTTGTTTTGATATGGCATGTTTAAATAAATATGAAACTAAAATACCCAGCAGGTGTATCTTTGGTAGGTTTAGATAAGTAGAATAATTCATTCATATTTATTAATTTAGCAAAAAGCTTTAATCCAAAGTGACTTGCAAATGAGGAGCACTTAATGCCATGAGGCCTGATTACAGTATTTTAGCATAAGTTTTTTCATTAATTCAAGGAAACAAAAACATTTTTTTTTAAATTAAAACAATTCAGTGTGTGTGCGTGTGTGTGTGTGTGTGTGTGTGTGTGTGTGTGTGTGTGTGTGTGTGTGTGTGTGTGTGTGTGTGTGACTGAATAATTTCACTTTCACTGAACAAAACTATTTATTTTCTTTAAAAAAATTCTGCATTTACTGTGAAAGAGAAAACTGATTGGCTATTCAGTTTAGCAAATAGTTGCATTAAATACAACAAAGACATTAAATAGACTGAATAATGTGCAGGTTAGTGTATACTCTATGCGCTTTTTTCGTTTCTGTCAGCTTTGGGTTTAATTAAAGAATTAATAAACTATTACGGTTTAGAACAGGGATGCTCAAACTCAGGTTGGTGTCCTGCATATTTTAGTTCCAACCCCAATTAAACACACCTGAACCAAATAATCAAGCTCTGGGTATACAAAAACTTCCAGGCCGGTATGTTAAGGAAGTTGGAGCTAAACTATGTAAGACACCACCCCTCCAGGACCGAGTTTGGACACCCCTGGTTTAGAAGAATGGTTTGTGACTAATAAGAGGGATAAAGTACATCCAGGTGGTTGTTTTCACAGAATAAAGCCCTTTAGTCTTTTTAAACAGTCAATAAGCCTGTTGGGGGGTTATTCTGTGACATTCTCTTGAATGTACTTTATCCCAATCTCGATGCACCTTAAGTTAACAAGAGCTAACAACAGATTACTGTATTGTCATTAACTACCATCAACAAACATGAGTAAATAACTAATTATACAGTAAAGTAAAAATTATTAGCCCCCTTGAATTATTAGCCCCCGTTAATTTTTTTTTCCCTATTTCTTTATACCGGAAAGAATATTTTTTTTAACAAATTTCTAATCATAATAGTTTTATTAACTCATTTCTAATAACTGATTTATTATATATTTGCCATGATGACAGTAAATAATATTTTACTAGCTCTTTTTCAAGATACTTCTATACAGCTTAAAGTGAGATTTAACGGCTTAAATAGGTTAATTAGGCAAGGTATTGTATAACGATGGTTTGTTCTGTAGACTATAGAAAAAAAAGCTTTAAAGGGGCTTATACTTTTGATCTTAAAATGGTTTTTAAAAAAATAAAAAACTTCTTTTATTCCAACCGCAATAAAACAAATAAGACTTTCTCCAAAAGTAAAACTATATTCAGACATGGTGAAAATTTCCTTGCTCTGTTAAACAATTTGGGAAACATTTAAAAAAGAAAAAAAAAATTAAAAGGGGGGGCTAATAAGTCTGACTTCAACTGTATGTATTGTTCTTTTTCACGTTTGTAAATAGAAGAACAAACATTAACTATGTGTACCGCATCGTTAAATGTCACCATTGCAATTTTTGTGGTGGATTTAAGCACTTTTAACCCAAATGCACATGACGCATAGACAAAAATTAGTCATCACTAGATCTTTGTTGGTGGTTTTGCGCATCAAGAAACCAAAGGACATTTTGTAGGACAAACAAACAATTATACACTTTCTTAAAACGCCAAAGTTGACAACAAAGCTGTATTTCAAAATTCTGTAGTTAAAAAAACAAAGTTAAAAAAGTTGCGTCTTTTTAAAGTATTCTATATTGTATGTTAATGCATGTGAAAAGCAGAGCTGACCTTCTGTTCTAGAACACACGCACAAATCATATTCCAGCTTTGACCCATTTCACACTCTCTGCCCTTAGTCTTAAGACTTACATAAACACTCTTTTAAACACACACGCTTGTTCTTTCCTGCTTAACTGCTGAGTTTCCCCAGTGTGTGCTGTATGAGTGTGTATGCTTGGTATTAGTGCATATGCATCAAAAAGACTGTTCAATGACTGAGTGTTTGTGTGCTTACTGCGGCTCTCGTTCTCCCCTCTGTAGAGCACACTTGCATATTCATTCCTCCTTCTCTCCATATATTCTTCTCTTTAAACCACTTCTTATCCTACCGAGGCCAGTTCACCCCCTCAACTCCTCTATATCGCACGCTCCTCCTCGCACTTTCCCACTGTCAATTCCGAGCAAGCGGTATTTATCTTTCACGCCATACACACCTACTCCCTCCAGCACACGGACAAAAAAAAAGAAAGAAGAGAAGAAACTCCAAATAAAATTCAATTACAGCCTTTGAGAGCTGCAGCATGAGTATGGAGGGGTGTATTGCTGTACGTATATGTATACGCGTCCATTACGTTTCGGCTCAGGCGATTATCTGAGGCAAGCAGACTGAGCAAAGCAGAAGACAGGTTGTATTTAATTAACTCTTATAATTAAAAAAAGGAAAACGAGAGAGAGAGAGAGAGAGAGAGCAAAAGTATAGGAGCGTGTCCGAGGCCATAAGCCGCAGGATTGAATGTTCTGATGTCCAAGCTTCTGTGCACGGCGCACTTTGTTTAGTCGTGTTTACTTTACTTTGGCACCCTCTGGGCTCTCATATGAGATTTGAGAGAAATAACTGCATTTATAGCTACTGTGATCAAGGACGGCTGGATTGTAATTACTTTTAAGCCATGATGGTGAGCGTAGGACATTGATGGAGCAGGATGGAGAACCGAGGAATGGAGCAAATCTAAATTGGATCTTCACTCTAGGGCTGTCATTACATTATTAGGACAGCAGCACAACAAAAACGGTAATTACAAAACAGCGATTCTTGAAATCAAATACAGTGGTAATACTGTGTAATGCTGTTATTAGTTTGAGGGGTTGGAAGGTCTTGGAGCTGAAGTAAACTGAATTAAACAACAAAGATTCATCAAAATTAGATACTGGAAGCATGATGGTTTAATGTTGCTGGGAACCACCACAGAGAATCTAAAACTGAGAAGTAAGCTGCCTGTTTAGACAGTATCTGAGGCGCATTCCTGAAAATCTGTACTGTGGAATAATATATTCTGGTGTCTGCTATCATTGCATTTATCTTTCATGGAGGAATTCATTGTGGAGAGCTATAAAATTTTTCATCCAAGATTGTAGATGGAGTTGAGGGGAATATATTTTATTTACAACTTCCAAATCAATACAATTCTTAAATGTACATGTATAGTGCCTGGTAAAAACATTGATTTTCCAATTAAATCACTATATTTTTCAGCGATCCCGGTATCAATTTTTTACTAATCAAGATCAATTTTTTGCTATATCTATTTTCAGGGACTACATGAAATATAGTCTGCATGAAAAACTGAATAGTCTGGCCTCTGTCTTAATATTTAAAAACAGTACCAAAAAAGTTCCCCATGGAAGAGTTCTTTTCTCCATCATTTTCAGCACATTGTTCTGCCATTGCTGAATTAAAGCTGCAGAAGCTTCGCTGTTGTGGGATGTGATGCAATAAAAGGCCTGTTTGCCATCAAATACCAGAAACAATCATATAATCTGACCACTAGTCTCATGGTTCGGTTCCACTACGATTAACATCATTGATTTGGATCAATTCGACATCACAATGCATTTCATCCTCAATATTAACTTTTATCTCCCATGTATACATTTGTGCTATTAAATACAAGAAGCCAGAAAAATGAACAGAATCTTTCATTTTGCCTACTCAAAAAAAACTGGCTTGTTGAAGACATCAAACATCAAAAAGCAATAATAACATGCTCAGAATAGTGTTCCTCTGCTCTGTGAGTGGGAGAGATGAAGCTTTTTACAGTGTGCCCTTAGAAGTGACATGGGGGATCTTGAATTCTACTGTATCTGCAGCGTCAGTGAACTCACAAGCAACAAAATGTGTGAATGACTTTAAAATAGTTTTTAAAATAGCATTTTAATTACTTGCAATTCCTTCATCAAAGTATGCCACTTGGTATGGTTTTCTGACATATTTTACCAACGGAAATGCATGCTCGAGTAGCATACTGTCAGAAAACCACCTTAACCAGTTATGGTCTGTTAATAAACCGATACTGAATGGACCTTAGTCTTCATCACAATGCACCAAAAAACAATTCATTTTGTCATCCCTACTGAACATTGCACTTGAATTTGTAAATACATCTCTGTTTCCTTTATGTAAATAAAAAAGATATAACATGACCATTAGCATGAGACCTAAACACACTGTGCCGAGTTTTTTTAAAAGAATTGCATACTTAGTTACACGTGGAGCAATTTCAAGCAATTACATTATAATAATAATAATAATAATAATAATTATTATTATTATTATTAGTAGTAGTAGTAGTAGTAGTAGTAGTAGTAGTAGTAGTAGTAGTATCGTTGTTGTTGTTGTAGACTCTGTCATATTTCTTGAAGTTGGTTTTGTAGCATAAACCCATAATCTACTTTGCTTTTATTAGTAACTCTTTTAGAGTCAAATTATTGTAGCTAGGTTTGGTGGTTTAGGTTTTATTGTGAATTTGTTATGGGCATAATAAATGCCCTTAAATAATGCAGCTTGTAGTTTACAGCAAGCATCAAATGTTCATTGAGATGTGTTTGAGATTGTGTTGTCTGTCATATCGTCTGTCTTTGAAGGGTTTGTTTTTTATAAGGCACAGCTTTCAAAAATGATGAGATGAAACACTGCTGGGTAGTTGCGCTGGTTTACCAACATTTGTTTGGGTCCATAATTTCTTAGCATTTTCATAACGGTTTTACAGTTTAAAACGATGAAACTGGTTTGTGGTGTTACCTGCTTTTGATGACAAGTCATCTGCGAAGTTTGCAGTGCACGTTGCTTTGTTTCGGATTAAAAAACTATGTAGCTCAAGACTACTGAAGTCTAGTGACGTTTCTTGTCAACAATGTTTGTGACTTTTTTCTTACTCCTTCAAGTGCAATTAACACTGTATGGCTGTATACTTGTATACTGCCTGCAGCATGCAGAAGGGCAGGCTACAAAATGCCTGCGCAGCGTTACACAATTATCTAACTGTCATTATCGTTTTTTCAGAAAATTATTTATCTCAGTAATTATCGAAATCAAATTATCATCCAGCCCTAATCAGAACCCATTTCACACGATATGATTTGAATCGCAGACAGCTCCAGATATTCAGCATGCCAAATATCTCACTGATGTGAGAGTTTTAACTGAAAATAACATTGGCGGTCACCTACAGCCAATGAGAGAGCAGCATCCACTAGCATCCACCACATGGTATCTGCAGGTCTGTGAGAGAAGGTAAAAGCCCTCATTTCCACTTTATTTGCACCCAAGAAATGGTGGAAAAACTAGTGTAAATTTGGCAGTAGCCCCCATGTCTGTTTGACATGTCATGGGAGCAATACCACAAGTGGGCTGAAAAAGAAAAAAGTTGAGGAGAAATTGTTAATTCCCTTCAAACCCAGGTGAGCAAATATGTACATTTTCTACCCCCATTAAGGGCTTCTTTCTCATTATGTAGTTAATAACAAAATATATCCTATGTGTTTCTGGTTGTGAGACGTAGTTTAGACAAAGTTGTTGGCGACTGCTCTGATTGTAAAGTCATACAGTATGAAACCCCTGTCACCGATCCATCTTGTAGTGTAAACAAAGCAGTGACAAAACGCTAGCCCAGCTAAACATGCAGTGTGAAAGCATCTGTGATGAGACTACTTTGAAAACCATGCAGTCTGAACTTAGCATTAGGATGAAAGCAGGCTATATTCCTACTGAATGTGCTTAATATTAATCATACAACAAACAGCGAGTGGACTGTTTGTTACAGTGCACAGACTAGGCTTAAGCACAATTTGTTTTTATTTTATTTTAAATAAATTTCTAAGACTTAATTTGTTTTTAGTTACCCATCTTGCTGTGGTTTTAAGCATTACGAAATTTTATGATCTCTGAAACTTATAGGTGTATTATTCTGTGTTTTTTCCCCCACCATACTCGAGCAGCCCTAGTGCTGAGAGAGCTTAGTGTCTATATAAAGTTCCAAATGGCATTCTATCAGGTTGCCATCTCAGAAAGCATTTGCTTATGTAAACAGCGTACAGTGATGCAGCTCACTGGGCTTTGGAACAGAGCCAGTGACTCAGCTTTCAGTTCATTCCCAACATTAACATATGCAGCAACTGCACCCCCTCTCAAAGCCAGCTCTGATGTCATCACACGAAAGGTCACGCTAACCTTCACGTTTCCACCAATCAGGTCCGGCGGCTCCTCGTCCGTCTCCAATGCCACGTTGATGGTGGCGAACGGTCGGCTTGCCATCTGCTGCATTTCTCGCAGGAGTTGCTGGGAAAGAGAAGAAGAAGATTATCCAACAGTGTTACATTCACACACACACACCACACACCACACACCACACACCACACACACACACACACACACACACACACACACACACACACACACACACACGGCTGTGTGTGCTGCTTAAATCCAGATCAATATAAAGGTGACGTTTGAAACAGCCTAACTTGAAAGAGATGCAGGCTGAATGCAAAAGAGAGAAGGCCAGATTGAAACAAGCTTGCGAGCGCATAAACACATAAAAGGACCATCTAAGAGAAGTCAAACAAGGGGAACTGTATATCTGCACAGCCTTTTAACTGTCAGAGACGGAGAGAAAGCGGAGCGGGAACAGATCAAACACTCGTTAAGCATAATTGATGCCGCTCTTTGCTTATAACGGATGGGGGGAAAGGATACAAACACATAAATGGGCACAAATCATCCAATAAAGGAGAAAAAATGAAAACATTATATGCAGGTATGGAGCATCTGATAAGTGTCTGTATTAAAATGTCAAGGGCTGTGCTTAAAGTGCTGTTTTATTCTGAAAGACATCTTTGAATGTCTGTCAACCAATGGGAGACTCAAACCTTCAGCCTTTTTTGTGAGTGCCACAGCTCCTGAATGAAATGGCAACATTTTCTACAAACCTGCCCAAGTGTTGTTGTTGTTGTTAAAACTATTAACTATTCGAATATTTTTCTTAATTGTAAAGGTTATTGTACACTGAATCCAACATTTTTCTCAGAAATTTTCACACGTTAAAAAAAAAAAAAAAAAAAAAAAATGGACCTCGCATTGTCCATCATATTGACACACTGCCTGCGAAACTTTTATTCGTCATAAATAAAAAACTTTATTTGGGTTAGATTTTTTAAAAATTTTCGCAGCCTAAAAAGCGATTTGAGAGGCATTTTGACAGTTCAGAGCCACCGTACAAGCAGAAGGCAAAATATTGTCACTTGAGCCACAGATAACTTTATGAAAAACACAGAGCATAATATAAGACAGAATGTCGCAGACAGTTAAGAACTCCATGCTGGATTCAGTGACTAGTGCACCTCTGCCCTGCTGCTGTTTGGTGTGTGAGTGTATCTTTCCATTCAATGTACAACCTTTAGACATCATAAAAGAAAGCTAGACGCCTCATGGTCTGCTTCAGTTACTCCCATGTCAACGTATATAAGAAATGTATCAAAATTCCACTAAATTCCTGAATTAAACTTTGCATTTGGGGATAATCCAGCCCATATCTTTGATAATGAGCTGAACTCTCGCTCTTCTCTATGTAGTATTGGATGAACACAATTTGTCGTAGATTCTTTTTTTTCTACTTTGGAAAAGAGAGGAGAACAAAGTATAACTGCTTGAACTGACTCTGAAATGTTTTACATTTTTTCAGAATGGATTAATTACAATCCATCAGACTCAGTGTGCAAGGTTTTTGAACATGCATTTTGCATATGAATGGGGGAAAAAACACATACGAAAATCTCGGACTTTAGTGTGCTAATACCTGAAATATGTTGAAATAAAATACAAAGTTAAACTATTTTTAAATATTTAAAAAAAAAATTAAAATGTAGATTGCCAAAGCAGCTTAAAATAGATGTTCTAGTAAATTTAAATTGTGTCAGTCTAGTTGAAGTTCAGTTCAGTTCAGTTCAGTTTAGTTCAATGAGGTTTGATTTTTGCTGCTGAAAGTCCAAACACTGAAGACCAAATCCATCAATGAGCAGCTCTACAAGTCCCAAAATCAAGCAAACCACTGGCTTGATTTTCACCAATTAATGCAAGTGACAGAAAAGAGAGAAAAAAAAATTGAGAGAAATCAGGCTCAGTTGGGTACGACCATTTCTCCACCAAACTTTCTGTGTAGAGCTGCTGTTTAGGCACCGGAGGCTGAAGTATTATGATGTATTGAACAGTGCTGCACAATGAATAGCAACAACTCAAATAAAAAAATAGTAAATTTGGATCCAGCAACTAACAGACTGAACAGAAATAACATAAAAGGGTCACTAAATCAAATAATTCATCCAACGATTCAAAATGTAAACAGCCTTTTTGTGAAATAAGACAAATAAGATGACGATTCTTCTATCAATCCACCAATGTAAAAAAGGAATTAATAATAATAATAATAAAATTACCATAATAATAATAATAATACTAATAATAATAATAATAGTAAATACTAATAAATAAATAATAAATCCCTCTCAGCAGTCCACCATTAGAGTTTTACCTACCAAAATCATGTCGGTGACTAATAAAGGCATTATAATATAGGCATTATAAATGTAGGCATTATATATGTTGAGTTTTAGGATACACAAATGAACACTGTAGTCTCCATAGACTGTCCTCTTCTAAGCCACTTTTGACATTTTCAGTTTTTCCTCAGCGATAAGGTCAGCCCTGTTTTGCATCTGCTGCTATGACGATGCATAGGTTTTTTTTAGGTTGTTGCTATATTAGATATGGTTGTGGCTGTAAATTAACAAAAATGCTTTATATAATTTATTAAAATTTCCATTAATTGTATTTTATTAACGTCTACCTCCACCCCAACCCTAAACTCAATCGTCACAGTGATGTAAAAACAGTAGTTGTACCGAGTATTATTTGTGTCATCTATTAAATTATCCAATACATTTTATTTTTTAATCTCTACTCCTACCCTAACTCTAAACCCAACCATCACATTACTGCAAAAATATAAATTTTTGTTAAACAGTGACATCAAAAAAATGTGCATAACACATTTTCGGCCAGTAGTGTAACCTATCTAGACTTTACCATGTTTGTAGCTCTGCGAGAAACAATCTTATTTAAATTTGAAGAAACAGTGACCAAAACGGCACAATTTGGATCAAAACACGTGAAAAGGGTAGTTTCAAGAGTCATAAACAATAATTTGTGTGATATTTAGAGCCGAAACTTCACATACACACTCTGGACATCAGAGACCTATTTTACATCTTGTAAAAATGGCATAAAAGGTCCCCTTTATTAATAATGATGATGGTAATTTAAATCAGTACATGTGTCTGTGTGTGAGAGAGAAAGATGATGGATAGAGAGAGGGATACGAGCAAAACAAGCTTCTTCAACAGCACTCGACTCAATTAGAAATCTCCACCGCCTGACTGCCATCTCTCTCCACAGGAGCCACAAGTCATTTAATCTATGTGTGTGTGTTTTGTGTATCTGTCCATCCATGTTCGACTGTGCAGCCCAACACACAACAGAAAATCTTATAAAGAGGAGAGCGAAAGGGAGAGCGGGAGAGAGAGAACGCAAACGCTCCGGGGAGCAGAGCAACTGTCACACACGCGGTCCCACTGCAGCACATCAAAGTGCATATTTACTGATGTGTGCTTTAAACTACCGTCAGGAATATAAGGCATATCCAAAGAGACAGAGCAGAGGGGTAAAGATGGATGTGCCGAGCGGAGAAAAGAGAGAGATCTTTCAATCAACCTTCAGGAGAGCAGCAGTGCTGAATCAGATGCTGAGGTGCAGCCATGCTGAATACTGATCTGAGATGAAACACCAGCACACACTGATATCAATGCTCAGTGTCTTTCTTACAGCTTGCCTGCATGGGTGGCTTAAGAGAGGTTTGAGCCACTTGACAGCTGGTCAAACTACAAGATGGGATGAAAAAAAAAAACTTTAAAAAAATTGTTACGGTAAAAAAGGCAGCTGTAGTTGGCAGTATTTTAACATTAAAACTATGACACAAAGCACAAAATATATTTTTTAATTATGTAAATCACTGTATTTCATTAAAATGTAGTGTAATGTAGAAGTACTAACATCTACACATCATATACTTTGTTACACTGATTATTAAACAACATCATGGTAAACAGAAATACAATTAAAGTAATTTAATAAACCTTTTTATCAACTTTTTATCAACAAACTGTAATACCTGCAACTGATGGGAAAAAGAACTATAGTAATTTCATAAAAAGCATAAAAAGTGAAGTGTCATGCAGGGAACTGTGGGGAAATTAATTTACAGCTATTTAACTTGCTGTTAACTGTAGCATTTTTACAGTATTTCAACTGTAAACCTTTGCTATTTTATTAAGTTTATTATTAAATTACTCAAAAATGGAAATTTACTGGTGATGTATTCACCTTTAAATGCAGCTAAACCTGGTGCAATTTATATTTTTGTACAAGCTTGTAAGTGATTTTTTTCCCTGATCAGAAGAAGAAAATTTCTCAACCAAGTGGCTCATATTGTGAAGTATATGTGAATTTGTGAAGTACGTGTGGATAAACGAGTCAATTTATATTAAGTTGAGCAATCAAGAAAACAAACTCGCTGAACATCGAGCACTGTACTATGTGTCATGCATGACAAAGTGGCATGACTTGATGGTTTACATTGGACAAAGCTTTATAATTCACACATGTGGTGACCATGAGTGCTGGTTTCCAGGTGCTAAAAAACCTGTATATTTTGTGTAGCTAAACATGCTATGAGGGAGAAGCCCTGAAAGAAATTCTTTCGTCCATGTTTTGTCCAGACCAGATCAAAATTGTGCCGTTTATTAAGTTTATTTGTATAGTGCTTTACAATAATTATTGTTTCAAAGCAACTTTACAAAAGGTTGACTGCATTGCAATCAAATATAAGTTATTATTTACAGACATAGTTTAACAATTTTAAAGCATATAGGTGACATCTATGGGTACATGTTGAATGAAATGTATTGGTGTAATAAATGTGTGTTGTCCTTGAAGGTTGGCATCATCTCTTCATAGGTGTGATTTTTGAAGTCTGTGCTACATAAACGCATCACTGATCCCAAACAATTTTTACATAAACTTACTCATATTTGTTGTGATCTTTGAACCATGTATGCTTGCCCTTAAGGCATTCAAGATGTAGAACACTTTCTTTCGGCAAAAAAAAAGAAAAAAAAAAAAAGATTTTAAACTGAAGCCATCGTCTTCGAGGAAAAAAAAAAAAGCAT